TTCCATCCAAAGGTATCCTCGTTGAAAAGTGATAAGCGGTACAGATCCATGGGTTAATTGGGACCTGCATAAACGAAGAAGAGTCGTCACGTGATGTAGTCGCGTGGTGGACCACAAAGGAGTCAAAAGCGATTTGAAGAGTGGGCAGGTTGGAAAAACAGAATCGGGCCTTGATGAGCGGGTCTGGATCAGGATGTCCGTCCATGGGGCTGTCGACTGATTAGGGATGGAGTGGAATAATCAGAATAACTGCATGTACGATCCTGCTTCAGTCCAGCCCTGCCAAAAGCCTGTCACACCAAAGATAGGGTATAATAGAGTGAGGCATCTAGGTCCCAGTATTCCTGACTGTCAGAGGAATGTTATTTTCAAGAGTAGGCCATAGGACAAGGGACCCAGGTATTTTAATTTGAGGTCTGAAGTCTAGGTATCCATATGAAGGAATACCCCCATCTTCGTCTAGAGTCCCGTGATCTTATATCATTGTCTAATACGTAGATAGAACATAAAGACCCTTCGCTAATGACAGCTGAATCCAGGGAATAGGAATAGCAAAAAAAATGAGAGTTTAGCTACAACCGTCCGAAGCAGGGACTGTGTCCAGGTTTCAAGAATGTTGGGTAGCCTGATCTAAACCAGACACAGACCCTGAGCAGTACTCCAGTAGGAGGTTGTGTCCCAACTTTGTGACATCTGTGTAGGATTCAACATCGAATAAGGGTTCCCCCATAGAGTCCAAACAGTCATCTTTGTCGGTACCTGAATAGGTGGGTGAGCCAAAGATCAAAAACCAGGACGGCTGCTCCCGTGAGGGATAGTCCTCCATATCCAAATCATGTTCTCCGGATATGTTCTCAGAGGAGAAAAGGTAGTCCTGCCATATATCCCAAGATTGCTAACAGCCAGGGAACCCAAAGTCAACCAGTGACTTCAGTCTTTCCATGCGACCAGTGCGAACGGTGTATCTGCAGACCGGGGTGTGGGACTTCCCCATTCCCGCCATCCAAGTAAAGCAGTGCATGTTTGCTCTTTGGAGGCATCAAAATCTCATGCTACCTTTGATAGGGGAAAAACTACCTGATCAGTTTGTCCATAATGGTGTGCCTAAAAATAAACAGAGTGCGGTTGCCTGCTCGATACAATGCAGATTATACCATAACCTACAAACCTGCAATAACTGGGGCTCACCCATTAGCAGTACAACCTCCAGAAGTATATCCAGTAGGGAGGTATAGGGGCACCAACAAAGTGGGCCAATCATAGGAGCTGTACCAGAGACAGCCAGCTCAAAACAGCCCATACCCTGTCCAATGAGGCATCATGTAAATAACGTTGGGGATCTCCCCCAGTAATACCTCAGTGAGTATATCCTGAGTGGGGATACAGTGGCACAGACCCAGCAGGCCAATTATAGGAGTTACAACAGTGACAGCCAGTTTAAACAGGCATTACCATGCCCGAACAGGTGGCACCTATATAAAGAAAATAAATAGTAGCACAGTTGTTAGATCTAATGGAGGGGTTCTCTCCTCTTACCCAGTCTCTATGAATCAGCATCTCCTAGACGTTCCAGTGAGGTAGCCATAGCCCTTATTGCAAGAGCGGTAGCATCAGTGGCAAAACACGGTATGTAGCCCAGACCTCCATATTGAGTGGAATGTAGGAGGGACGCCCCTCTAAGAAGACATCGGTGCTCTGTACTGGTATAAGCCTGTAAGAGGAAGAAAGGCCGACGGTAGCAGGATAAATAACCATGTCGAGTAGTGTCAAGAGACGGGTTCGCCCTCCAAGAAAGGAAACAGAATCCAGTACTGTAATAAACTTCAACGCAAATGGTAAACTGATGGGAACAGTATAAGTAGTCATATTGGGCTGTGCACATGAGGGGAGCTCCTGGCTCCTTATATGAGAGGGGGTCACCCTCAAATCATGCAATTTGCATCAACATCGGCATCAGGCTGATGTTATGGGAGGGCCGCGCCCTTTAATAATAAAATTAGTGTCATGTTCAGTATATGAGAGGGGGTCATCTTCTAATCATGTAATTTGCATCAGCATCGGGTTAAGGTTATGGGAGGGTCGCACCCTCTTATAATACAAACCAGAGTCCATATCAGTCTCAGACTGATCTCGCGCTAGTGCATGGGATCCAAGATGGCTGCCGGTAGCCTGAGAAAACGTTGGAGACATTCTCCGCGATCCACGAGAGCCTGGGAAGTCGGAGGAGGCCAAGTCAGACCTCTCGACGTCCCGAGCAAGACGAAAAGACCAGAAGACATGAAATAAAGAAACAACTAAAATTAAAGTTGAGATAAAGTAAAAACACATACCTCAGAGGGAAGGCAATATAATGGAAAGGAAATGGAAAACAGGTAAACCCAACAGGAAATAACTCAGAACTATACATGACTTAGCTAAAACTGCCTAGACTTAAAAAAGGATACAGGATTTGCAGCTAAAGGACTAGCAGCTAAAGGCCAAAGATTTCCTGTGCTCCCTCGTTGGTGTCTGAGCACTGGTCACTGTTTGTATTTCATAATGATCCTGGAAGGAGTATCAACAGAAATCTACCCCTGACAGAGGTGTCTACCACAAGGAACCACCAGGGAGTGGGCCATAAGAAAAATAATGGAGAAAAACACCACAAACATCGCCATGCAGCGCACCCTGAAAGTATCGACATAAAAGGCAGTATATGAGCTGTCTAGGGAGGTCCTAACCTGACATGGTGGGAAAGAAAAAACAGTGCCACTGGGGGTAGCCCCAGGCTGGACTCAACACCCACCAAAAGGATGCAGCATGCACCACAACGTGACCTACAGTGCGGAGAAATACCTAAACAGACCAGGGTATGTCACCTAATGAAAAAATTAGACTCCAAAAACCTAGGCAATGAACAAGGGTTATTAAAAACAAATATACTATCACCCTGAATGAATGCAAGGACCAAACAATAGAAGGGGATACTAAAATCCCATCATCTCCCAAAGGCGAGTTATAAAAAATCCACCCCACATAAGAATCCCAGGCTAATGTAGAGGGAAGGAAGGAGTTAAGCATGCAAAGACACAATCCTGGACATTATGCACAAGGTGCATCAACCTTAGTAACAGGTTAGCTACAATGGCATCTCGGGGAACTCTGGTGCCCATGGAGACAACCAGGATGCTGCTTACCCCACTGCAGTAGAGCAAACACTGTGGGAGGGCAGCGAACATCCACACTCTCCCTTGTTGTCCGGGTGCACGTGGGCAGCAGCACTCACCAGCCGCAGTTTGATGGCGCCGATAACACTGAAGAGGTGAGGGTGGGGGACTCCGGCCATCTGGATCTCACGCAATAGCGCTACTTCCAAGGAGGCTGCGGGAAAACCACAAGTGGGGCAAGCACGTGGGACCGCCCGTGATAGACTCAGCGGTCCAGACATTCTGGAAGTCGGAGGGAGCCACAAGGTAGAAGCCCCGCGACTATACAACACCCAGAACCCGGATAAATAAAAGGGGGAATCATCATATGTTTGCTAGCAAATACAAATAACAGTGACAGAATAGTGCAAAGCAGACAGACAGTATATCTCAAAGACAGTCATAACTCTATACTGCAAAGTATAAAGGGTTTGCAAGTGTAGATCAAGTCAGCCAGATAAAGGCTACACAGGCCTAAGGGAAACTTAGACAGGTAGAAGTAATGGAATAAACAGGGGAGAGGAAAGTAAAACAAATCCCCTAAAATCAATATACAATTAAAGAAGGCATAAGATAACATTCACTGCCACCCACTAAAATCAGGAGGCAGTGGTACTCTGACCTGTACTGATGTGGAGCAGCAAAGAAAGAGGAAATTATGTGTGGAGAGGGGAGTTTTATAGTACCTAACTTTTTCTGATTGGTTGTTTTTCTGTGTGTTAATGTGCTGCTGTGGAGTTCTAGTAAAGAGAGACTTAAGCAAATATGAAGCCTCCTGTCATGTTATAAAATTTCCAAGCAGTTTAACAGTAAATTAGGGTTCCTGGCTTCCAATAGCCATTCCTCTGCTAGAGGAGATATCACACACTTCCTTGAAGGCATACAAATTCCTACCAACAATCGTACTCTGATAGGCTGAATGTAATCAGCTGACACACTCAGCCAATCACAACCACTCATTACTACTCAGGCCAAAGATTTCTTATTAGCACAAGCAGCATTCACATATAAAATTGCAGTGTTATGTTATGTTTACATGCTACCTATGCTCCCCTTGCTTCAAATAAATGTTGTGCTAATATTATTTAATCAAAAAGTTAAAAAGGGGTTTACTTGGAGTATGTTTTTAAATTTTTCTATTTTGGCCTACAATTTGAATCAGGTTCTCCCCCTTGACTTAGCACAGACAATTTGCGATAAATACAGTAGACTTAAAGTGGATCTGCCCCATCTGAGGATGCTGCATAATTTTCATAGACCCCTGATGCTTACATCACCGCTGGGGGTCCAGTGGCTGGAGGATGGCAGGCAAAGGTGAATTTTACTTCCCCGGAGCTGTCCCTTGCAGGCACCGCTATCCTCTTCCTGTTTGTAATCTTCTGCTCCTGGTGAGAGCGCAGCATTGAGGTCTACGTAGGACCTCCACCAGACCATGGTATCTTCTATAGATAGAGCTAATTTCCCAGCAGCTGTCACTGGTGATGCCATAGAGAATTGACACGGCTTGATGTCGGTGGGATAAATACTGAGACAAAGTAGACTGGCGGGGGTGACCGTGACGCTTTAAGTTGAAATGGTTTTAAGATGTTAACTTTAAAAACATTTGTAAATTGTTACGTGGTTGCAAGAAATCCAGTATACAAGATAATTTTAAATGTGACCTCTTTTAAATATCTACAATCATGGACAGATTGTGTATGAAACACTTTTACAACTTTACGTGAATGTCATACATTAGAACTGTTATCTTTTTATAAGCTGCTTTTTTTAACATACCTTACCATCAAGACCTTCTGCAATATCACTAATAAAAATATTAAAGAGAATGGGTCCAAGTACAGATCCCTGAGGTACCCCACTTGTCACCAGTGGGGTACCTCATGATTTGTACTTGGACCCATTCTCTTTAATATTTGTATTAGTGATATTGCAGAAGGTCTTGATGGTAAGGTATGTCTTTTTGCTGATGATACTAAGATATGTAACAGGGTTGATGTTCCAGGAGGGATAAGCCAAATGGCAAATTATTTAGGTAAACTAGAAGAATGGTAAGAATTGTGGCAACTGACATTTAATGTGGATAAGTGCAAGATAATGCATCTTGGACGTAAAAACCCAAGGGCAGAGTACAGAATATTTGATAGAGTCCTAACCTCAACATATGAGGAAAAGGATTTAGGGGTGATTATTTCTGATGACTTAAGGGTAGGCAGACAATGTAATAGAGCAGCAGAAAATGCTAGCAGAATGCTTGGTTGTATAGGGAGAGGTATTAGCAGTAGAAAGAGGGAAGTGTTCATGCCATTGTACAGAACACTGGTGAGACCTCACTTGGAGTATTGTACACAGTACTGGTGACCGTATCTTCAGAAGAATATTGATACCTTAGAGAGGGTTCAGAGAAGGGCTACTAAACTGATTCATGGATTGCGGGATAAAACTTACCAGGAAAGGTTAAAGGAACTTAACATCTATAGCTTGGAGGAAAGACGAGACAGGGGGGATATGATAGAAACATTTAAATACATAAAGGGAATCAACACAGTAAAGGAGGAGACTATATTTAAAAGAAGAAAAACTACCACAACAAGAGGACATAGTCTTAAATTATAGGGACAAAGTTTTAAAAATAATATCAGGAAGTATTACTTTACTGAGAGGGTAGTGGATGCATGGAATAGCCTTCCAGCTGAAGTGGTAGAGGTTAACACAGTAAAGGAGTTTAAGCATGCGTAGGATAGGCATAAGGCTATCCTAACTATAAGATAAGGCTAGGGACTAGTATTTAGAAAATTGGGCAGACTAGATGGGCTGAATGGTTCTTATGTGCCGTCACATTCTATGTTTCTATGTTTCTATGTTTCTAATTGTCCTTATGTGGTACACCCTGTAAAACCCTTAGGAAATTGAAATGAAAAAAAACAAAACATGATTTTACAATTACTAACATGTATTTTGGTCCTTTGTACTAGCTTTAGAAAACTGCAATAATGGAGATTTTAAAATTAGATAAGTAATGTGTGGGATTTCTACTACTCGTAATAAATTATAAGTCACTGAGTACAAACAGAGTACAAACATGTTTCTATCATGGATAACTCATTCTGATTCAACTGATGATGAAAATAAAGCATTGTTATAAAACATTCATTTCATTGACAAACTTGTAAGGGCTAATCTAAACAGCAGTAAACTGTGAGTCACCATTTACTCTGTCATTTAAACAGAATTATCCATATGGTATTAGCTCCACCAAGTGGCATATGTCGGTGTAGCTTAAGATTTTTCTAACATTATTGTATTGATGCTTTTGCAGCAGTTGAATAAATGCAGCTATACCCTAACCGTAACAGTCTAAAATATAAATTATATATAACAGTAAAAAACTTTTCCTTGCCAATAACTAACAATCCATAAATTATTAACTTAACAATTCCCTGGGTGCTACACCTCCCCCTCATCTTATCAACCCTCACCACATCTCCAGGATTTTTTCCCCTTAGTGCTGACCACTATCTGGCCTTTTGCTCAGTGGGCAAGTCCATACCTTAACCAAACCTCCAGATTTATCACCCGCTTAGAGCTGACCACAAACCGACCTTTAGCTTAGAGCACATCCATACCATTTTGGACCCCACTACATCATCATACGCATTTAGTTCTGATCCACCCCAGTTGGCAAGGACATCAATCAGCAGGTGTGCCCCACCACACAAGCCATGGCTTTTTCGATTGCCTCCAGCATGGCTAGCTTGAATAAATCAAACTGATGTAAGATGAACACCATCACTTCTAATATAAATGGCCGCATCCATTTGAAAAATGCGGTGGTGGACAAAAAAAATTGCTTGATCCCTCACATTTCAAAAAATAAAAAATCAAACAATGGAAGTTTAGGGAATAGACTCTTGCTGGGGATAACCCAGATAACCAGGGAAGTAGTAATGAAAGAAAAAAAGGGGGGAGATGAGTGCCCTAATAAAACTTAAAATATAACCTTTAATAGTTTCAATAAAACTGTCAATGATAGAAATAAATTTGTTTCTAACTACAGTGCTGAAAAAAAAATGGATTGTTAGTTACGTGAATCAACCTGTCTAATTGTAAATACTAATGGTAGATCAATTACATACAGTGTATCGTTGCGCCTTTAGTAGTGTAACTATGTTGCAAATGCCTAGGGTTATAAGTGTGTCAATTTCGGATTGCAGAATTCGTGGATACAGTTGTTATTTGTAATCATACAGAATCTCTAGATTTAAGCATGAAAGATTTCTATCTGTGTTCGTTAAAGGACCCCTATAGTGGCAGGAAAACATACTAGATTTCTTGGCTCTATAGGGTGCTTGGGTCCCCCTCACCCTCTGGGCCCCCCTCCCGCCGGGCTCTAGGGTTAATCCCTTACCTTTTTTCCAGCACCGGGCTCCCTCGGCACTGGGGAATCTCCTCCTCCTTTCCCCGTCATCGGCTCAATGCGCATGTGCCGCACGCGCATTCAGTCAGTGAAAATCACAGTGAGAAGCACGGAAGCACCTCTAGCGGCTGTCAATGAGACAGCCACTAGAGGCTGGATTAACCCATTTGTAAACATAGCAGTTTCTCTGTTGGTTACAGCAGAGAGGGTTAATCCTAGATGGACCTGGCACCCAGACCACTTCATTAAGCTGAAGTGGTCTGGGTGCCTCTAGTGGTCCTTTAACTTAGGACTGCTAACTCTTAGTTTGCTGCCTAATATAAGGTAAAATAATAAATGTGAACGGAGCAAAATATTTACTTCAGACTAAGCCCTAAGTAGTCTGGCATATAAGAGTTGGTATTTGTGGTGAAACCGACCTCGCTACTGGGCATTGGAGAAGACTGATTGCCCGCCTCCTGCCATGTGACTATGGCCCCTGGGATGTATTGCCCTTTAAAGACATGATTTGGGCATAATGGATTAGTGTTGTGCTGCTGCTGGCCCTTTAAGACCCATCTGGGGACATACTGTGGAGTTACTGGGTGGCCACCATTTCATGTATCAGAGGCACATGGTGAGAACAATGGATGAAGCACATGGTGAGAACAATGGATGGCGGCCATTTTAACTCACAGACACTGTGTGGACTTTTCTACACGGTGCCATCTCGCCGGTATTTTGTGCACAGAAACATTGTGCAGTGGTTTTGGACTATACAATAGGAGACACATTATACAGTAATTGTTTTTCATATAGCCTGTATATATTCTGTGGAATCTGCATTAAACTGTATCTTCCAAACTATTGAACGGATCTGGGTGAATTTTGGATATGTGGTTCACCCAGATCCCCCGGTTCCGCATGGGGGATGGGGTTATTGCATGTTTTGGGCTCCCTGTGATATGTTTTATAATACTGTATTGCTCTGCCTGTGATAATTATATTAGCCATTGTGTTTAGTAATCATATCACAGACAGAGGGGATGATTTTGTGTGGGAGTGTCTGTGTGTATTGTAAGGATTGATTGGTTGTATTTCAAAACCCTGTGGGCAGTACTATGTTTGTGGATTGTGAATAAAAGAGGCTGTATGTGCCAGTACAGTCAGTTCTGCTTGACCTCAAAATGAAGTGTCGTCTCGTTATTGGGGAAATTGGATTGTATGCTGATTGCCAGGAGTGTAAGCTGATTGTATGCTTTTCCTGTTCAGCATTCATATGCTTGAGAGCATTTGTATGCTTCTCCGGTTCAGTGGTTGTGGTGTCTGCTGCAGTGCTTGGAGTCCTCAGGAAGCGCTAGGAGTATCCTTCAACAGAGGTACCCGGTCAGGGTGCCAGGTGATCCGTTACAGTATTATTTCAGCAATGATTGAAATCTTGAAAGGTTATCAATCTATGACTGTCAGGGTACCTGTTGGTGATGTATCCAGGGAGGACATCCTCTCTGCTTAGGGGCTCCCTTCCCCTAGCATTTCGGCATATTTCGGCCGTTTTCGCGCCGGCCGCGCTAGCTCCTCCCCCTTTTATGACGCGACGGCTAGCGTCGACGTCATGACGTCGGCATTTGCATAAAGTGCCGGGAACCGCTATTCCGGACCTTTTGGGGGCGTGGTCTCTATTTAGGTACAGGGTATTTAAAGGAGACCTTTACTACTGCTCATTGCCCTGTCGTGGTTCTAGCTTGCTAGTCACTCAGCGCGTTCTTTATCTAGTGTTTCCGGTTTTGACCCTTGCTTGTCTTTTGTCCTGTTGTCCTCTCCTCTCCTTTGACTCGGCTTGTATCTCGCTTACCTGTCCTCCGGCTCCCTTGACCTCGGCTTACCTTTTGACTATTCTTGCTTTGTCCTTACGTTAGTCCGGCCATTCTAAGGTCCGGTATACGTACCTCCTTCTGTGCGCACTCTGCGTATTGGATCCCTGTCAGTTTCCTGACATTACGACAGGGCCATGATGGATCCTGCAGGTGCTAGTCCTCCTGACCCCAGATTTGAGGCCATGGACCATAGAATGGACCAAATGGCTTTAGCGTTACAAACTTTGTTGACACGCTCCAGTACCCAGTCTGAAGAAATACGTTCCACTGCTAGCCACTCGCTAAGTACTGGTTTGGAAGTAGCCACTGTAGGCGCATCTTCCCATGTCACGTCACCATTACGATATGGGGGTTCGCCTGATGCTTGTCGTGGTTTTTTAAACCAGATAAGTATACATTTCGAACTACAACCCCGGGCTTACCCCACTGACAGGGCTAAGGTAGGCTTTATTATAACCCTGCTAATAGATAAAGCACTTAGATGGGCCAATCCCCTTTGGGAGAATGACAATCCTTTAGTCTACAACTACACTGCGTTTGTCACGGCTTTTAGAAGAACCTTTGACCCCCCAGGGAGGAAGATTAATGCGGCCAGATCCCTGTTACGCCTTAAACAACAAGATAGGACCCTTGTAGAATATGCTCTAGAGTTTAGAT